GCATATCCCTCTTTGGATTTTATCAAGGACCTTGAGACAAACAGAAGGGGCACCGGACCATATATGGCAGCAATAATCCATGAAAGGGCCAATGGTTGATTTGTAGATTTGAAGGATCGACTCCGGCGAGAAAAATTTCCTGGCGCGGCACAGGGAGTCAACTTTCCTTGTGGTGGACGAAGCTATTGACTCAAAGTATTTGTTCCATCTCAGGTCCGCGGACAACGTGTGACCGAGCAGTCGCAAAAAGGTGCTCTCGTGGAGTTGAGTGTCAGACATTCTAATGGGAGACAGAGAAGGTTCTCTGTGGTGAGTAATAGAGAGCAGTTTTGTTTTTCAGGCATTACATTTAACCAGCCAATTCCTGCCACGGTCTACAACCGATTGGAGATCCTTTTCAAGACAAACGGCCAGGTTAGTTTTGTCAGCGACACTAGATTTGTTTTCGAGGTAGGAGTAAATAGTACTGTCGTCCGCGTAGATGTCTACTTGGGAATCTATGACATCAGGAAGATCGTTAATGAAGATAAGGAACAGAGTAGGGCCTAGGATAGAGCCTTGGGGAACACCTGCGTTTGTGGGATAGGAGCTGGAGGAGAATCCGTTGTGAACGACCTTCAGTGTACGGTTTGACAGGAATGATTGTATTAAGTCGAATAATCGACCCGTAATTCCATAACCCTGAAGTTTGCGAAGAAGGCCGGCATGCCAAACCCTATCAAACGCTTTGGAGATATCAAGAGCCACGGCACGATCTTCTCCGTTATTATGAAGTGCTTGAAAACAACAATTTAAAAATAGCCCCAAAGAGTATTTACAATATGAAAACGAAACTATTTACAAGAAACCAAATAAAATAACGTTAGTAATATCCACTCCCACAATTCTAACATAGCGAAGATCACATCCGAACAATTACTCTGAAAGTCTTTATAGAACAGACACAGGGAGGATACCTTACAGCGGTGGGAAATTGAAAGCTGCGCTGCCAGATCAGGACCAATAATATTGCTGATTCTTCTTTAGATCTTCAAGGAGCTGAAGGTAAATAGCAGGGGCACCGGGCCATATGTGTCAGCAATATTCTAAGCATAGACTATCGATCCGCAGTACATAAAAATTCCTATAAAAAAAAACTACTACTAAGACATTACACTATATTATTGAACTATATACTTAGTTCATGACATATTAACTGAATACATTTGTAAAAATAGAATACGTGGATTTAACACATCACAAGAAATATTTAAATAAAATTCTCACTTAAAATTTTGAAAAACTTAGCGTTGCGTCTTTGCACGTTCCGTGATCGTACACATCCGTCAATAATAGCAGATATTCAGAAAACATCTTTCGGTCGACAAACAATTATTTCGTCTTCAAGTTTTTGATTTTATAAGGAAAAAAAAACACTACATGTCTGATGATGAATAGAAGACTATTCGTAAGTACTAGCATTTTAAGAACACATAAACTGGAAACAACAGACATCAATTTTATAGACGAGGATCACTTCACTCTATGGATTAACAGTATTTTAATGCATACATTATACTACTAGCGATGGATGTCGCCAATAATCGCATTAATATTTCTGATTGATTCTATGTGTGATTATTTCTTTGAATGTATAATAAACTTATAGACATGCAAGATTCGAGAGAGAAATTTAGTCTCGCCCAACGCAGTGAATCGACTTTCTTAGCAGCTGACCTGCCAATGGATTCAATTTAGTCTTTCCACTTCATGTGAGCTGAGAACGTTAGCCAGAGCTTGTTCGCCATCGATTTACTCAAGTTGACTAGATACGTTATACGTTTTTTCCTCCCGTCCCTCTTGCCTTCAATCTGTCCTGTGAGTATCAAAATTTCTAAGCCTTCTTTCCTCGATATGTCCCTTAGAAATTTCAACTGTCTCTTTCTCATATTGTCCTTTCTGTTTTCAGTTTCTCTAAATCTTCGTCGTAGCTCACATGATCCCACCATGGTATGCTCAGCATCCTTCTGCAGAGTCATATTTCTGTTGCTTGCAGGCTCTTCTTCATTTCTGAGGAGATTGCCCAGCATTCACTGAGAACTGATATCACATAACAGGCCAGTACTCTTTTCTTGGTTTCTAACGAAATTTCCCTGTTTCTTAATATTTTTGATTTTTGGATGACATATTTCGTTGTTCCATTCTCGCCGTCCATTAGAACAACAGTTTTGTTAAATCTCTGTATTTGCAAGGCTCAAGAGCCACTCGAGGCAGAAGTTTACAGAGTAAGTTGCAAAGTTTATAGAGATATGTGTAGACATATCCGTATACCTTGGACAATTTCAACCGTGGAAAGATTAACAATCAAATAACGTGTTAAAGTTATCGAAGCCTATTACGAAAACGGTCGTTCAAATTTATAAATATACAGCCTAATGATTCCGCTTGAAAAGATGCACATCAAACAGTGACCTTTTGTGGATGCAGTGACTTTTCGACAATCTTCCTTGGATTTTCATCAGTCCAAATGCGACAATTCTGCTTATTAACGAATCCACCAAGATGAAAATGGGCTTCATCATTAAAGAGGATTTTTTGCGAAAAATCTTCATCGGCTTGTCTTTGCTCATGCACCCAATTGACGAATGTACGGCGCACCAAATGGTCAACAGGTTTCGGTTCTTGAGTCAATTGAATTTTGTAAGCGTAATCTTTTGTTAAAAGTTCAATGTAACGTTGTTGCGGAGAGGTGTATTTCCTGCGCGCGATGACGAATAGTGGGGTCTGGATTTTCGGTCACATTCTCGTGCACTGCAGCAATGTTTTCAGTTGAACGGCGTAAACAAACACGCAATGGCTTTTTTCACATCTGTCACCGACCCAATTTGTTTGAATTTACGAACGATTTTTCCAATTCTCCATGGTTGAAATTGCCAAAGACTTAAGTTGTTAAATCTAAAAGAAAAAGAAAAAAAATCATTAGTTGCTTAAACGTAATTCACATTTAAAATCGCTCCAAATTATTGGAACAGCCTTTATAATGTTTCTAATACAAAATATTGATAATTTAGCAAAATGTATTGGGGACCGACAAATCCAAATTTGAACTTTTTGTTATTAAGCGGAGACTAGAGAAAGACTGAAAAATAAAAGCAAATCCACCGTAGGTACTGAAAATTTATCTTTTACTTTAAAATATATATAAAATAAAGAATTCAGTTGGAAAAATTGTTCGTAAATTCAAAGAAAATGGGTCGGTGGCAGATGTGAAAAAACCATTACGTGCTCGTTTACGCCATTCAGCTGAAAAACATTACTGCAGTGCAGGAGAATGTGGCTGAAAATCCAGACCCCACTATTCGTCATCGCTCACAGGAATTGAACCTCACCACAACAACGTTACATCGTTTCCAATTGCATTCTCGGTTGGTCGATTATCTTGACTAAAAAAATCGCGATGTGTGTGAAATGCATTTCTGTTTGAACGTCCATTTTCGTAATGTAGGTACCTCCACGAAATCGCTAAAAAAAGAGCATAGCTTGATGAAAAAGACGCCAACCTTGACGAAAACAAAATTTTATTGTCTAAATGCTTATGTTATTATTAAGAGGAAAGACCAAAGTTTTTTTTAATTATTTTAAAAAAAATTTCCTTCTTTTTAGAACATTCTAAATTTTGATTAAAAAAACCTTTTTTTCTATTTGTATCAGCGGAACTAGTAAATAACATAGACAATTTTTTGCACGTTTTTTTGGTATGACACACATTAATTTGAAAAATCGTGCAAAAATAGAAATACTTATCGGATGTTAATGAAACTTTCAGGAACTATTCACAGATGATCGAAATTATTATAAATATGTTTTTTTTTTATGAAAGTCATGGTAGAAATATATTTTTCAAGGCCTCAGATAATGTTTTCGGAAAAATAATGTTGCCAGTTATACGTTTTTGAAACAATAATGTTGCCAGCTATGCGTTTTTGAAACAATAATGTTGCCAGCTATACGTTTTTTATTTCAAACAAAATAGGCATTTAAAATTCATATAAACTGGATTTGACATTAAATAACCCACAGTGGTTGATATGCCATAAAACCCAAACAAGCAAACAAACTTTTTGAAAGGAATTATTACCAGCAATACATTTTTTGCAAAAGAAATTATCAACTATAAATCTTTTTGAAAAAAAAAATATTACTAGATATGCATTTTTGAAGAAAAATTATTAACAGAAATAGATTTTTGAAAAAATATTAACAATAATAAAAAGTTTGTCGGCATTAAAGAACCCATTGAGGTTGATATGTCGTAAAACAAAATAAACCAAACCAATCTAAACCAAAGAATACATATTCTATTCATACGAATCTATCCTAAAAAATTTTGTCGGCATTAAAGAACCCATTGAGGTTGATATGCCGTAAAACAAAATTAACCAAACTAACTATATTGTACAACATCATCTTACCATGACAATATCGTATATTGTACAACATGAACTTACCATTAACTTATATTAATTTACCATTAACTTACTATTAACTTATATTAATTTACCATTAACTTACCATTAACTTAAATTGAACATCAACCTATCATGGCGATGTCGTATACTGTACAACATGAACTATAAACAGATTATACATTCTTGAAATTCTTAAAACGAAAATGAAAACATGTAAATCAAAACTGAGGAGAATTTAGGAAGTTAGGATTATTTGAAAATATCGATCAATCTTTTCATCTGTCTAGATATCTGGACAGATGATATCCTATGAGATACGGCAAATCTAGGATCTTCACGTATCTCACGGGATGTTTCAGATACAATCCGAAATGAATTCCAGAAAACAAAGTATCTTTTTTTATTGTATTTTATTTCTCTTCCTTAGAAAAGCCATTTCGTGCCTTCCCGAATTTCTGGGTATATAAATTGAACAAAAGCCCTTGATAATAAACTCTGATCGGCGGGAAAACTAATGCCAGGGATAACACAGATGCAGAAAAAGGTAAACATGGAGCAGATCGTCATCATCCGCCCCGTGACCCGGGTGTGGTCGTTGGGTCACCGTACTGAGAGCAGAAAAAACATTTTGTAAGAAATGAAGATTTCAAGCTACCAATTTATGGTTCTACTGATCAATGGTGAGATAAATTCTTGCGACCATATCACGTTGAAACATCGGTTCCTGTACGATCACCAAAGTTAAGCAACATCGAGAATAATCAGTACCTAGATTGGTGACCGATTGTGAATATCAGATGCTGTAACCTTGTATAAACAGGCGATTTCAACGTGATATATCCTTAAGATACAACATACATATATATATATATATATATATATATATATATATATATATATATATATATATATCCGTGAAATTACAGGATTCTTTTCTCTTGATTTTCATTATAGATTTCTTGGATGAGCGCAGGGAAAACAAAAAGTATTCTCTCTCTCTCTCTCTCTCTATATATATATATATATATATATATATATATATAGAGAGAGAGAGAGAGAGAGAGAAGAATGAGAGAGAGAGAGAGAGAGAGAGAACAGTAAGATAGAAAATCCGGTGTTCTTATTGATATTTTTATTTTTACAAAACAGTGCTCAATGTAAGTTTACAGAACCTCCCTAAACTTAACCCCTTTTTCGAAAGTAACTAATAACTGATACACCAAATGTTAATAAAAATGAACACGCTACCACCCCATGTCTGAATGATTGGATTTCTCTGTATCCTTAGGAACAGTGAATTATGAATTTTTGTGTACGTTTAAAACTCAGTAAATTTAAAAAAATAAGTTACTCCAATATTCGCTTGAAGATGAAATGAAACTAATGTTTTTAATTACAAAATTAAATTTGAAGTTTTTAGCTTTCAATTTTGAAACATGGTTATTACTGTGTAGTGAAAAAAACATATTTTAAACCAGTTAATTTAAAATATATATATATATATATATATATATATATGTTTGTGTGGGGAGGGAGAGAGAGAAAGACGACAAAGACTGACACCAGCCTAATAAGTTTTCCGGTATCGCGATCGTCAGGCGATCATATATATATATATATATATATATATATATATATATATATATATATGTGTGTGTATAGCAAAGAAAAAACAGACCACTTTAAGGTACCATTATAATAATTTATTTCACCAGGGTCCTTTTAAAGGACGCCGGATCATCAGATAACACTTCCAAAAATGAAATGAAAAATGAAATTAAAATTGATGGGTAGTGTAAGTTTTTGTAATTTAACAGAGAATGGAAAAGGGGTAGTTAGAGAGACATGGTAGAGTTTAGGGAGGGTTTTTATATATAAGGAGAACATTATGAGGGGGATAGATACCTATTTACCCTTATACAGATTAAGATTGAAGTCTTTAAGGGAGCCACACATGCGGGTGTCTGTTTCAGAAAATATTAGTTTTTGGGAAAAAGTTGTTTGAGAGGAACTTCCTCTTTACAATTGGAATACAGAAGAATCGTCAGGGATTCGACGATGAAAAATGATAAAATAATAATAAAAATGGAAACTGGTGTAAAAAAAAGAGAGGGAAATAAGTTTTCTTCATTCACTTAAGACTTAAGTTTTTTATATATTTTTTTTTTAAATCAAGTTCACACCAAGCAAGGCGATAAAGCCACTACGACACAAGGATTTACTCGGTGGGTAAGAACAAGAAAACCGAAACGAGAAAAAGAACGAGAACAAAAGAAGACTAATGAGGAGAACAGTAGAGACCAATTGGCATTTCATTTAAACTTTTGCAGATTAATGTTGGTTGGAAAGTATGGGTGCAAAAAGGAATTCCAAAAGTGAGAAGTGCGAGAAAAAAAACTATTAGCATATAATTTACGGTTACACCTATCCACATCAACTGTATATGGTAAGACCTCATTATCAATCTAGTACTTCGTATATATTCATAAAGTCTAGGTACCATATCGAAGAGATCATCCGAACAATTACCATGAAGGTATTTATAGAAAAGACACAGAGAGGCAACTTTACGGCGGTGGGAAAGTGACTGAAGCCGTGATGCCAGATAAGGACCAATAATATTGCTGATTCTTCTTTTAATTTTATCAAGTGTTGTGGGGCTCTCCCTTTTTTTACATAAGATGGAGTCGTCTAAAGTATACTTATACTAACAGAGAGAATACCTGCGGTTGAGATACGTCGAGATACAGTCTCGACGTCTGTCGAACTCTCTGCTTTGCCAGAGAGGAACCGGGACGAAGCTTTGCCGAATGTATACAGGCCCTGAACCCGTCTAGGCGGGTTCAAAGGGTATATTTTTGGCGGAGCCTACGGGCTCAGTGAAACCCACTTTAAACTCGGCCTTGTGCCACATATATTCCTTGTGGGTGGACTGTTGAGATACGTGGAGATACGTTGAGACAGGTTGAGAGATACGGCGACAGACACGGGGTGTTCTCAGAGAGTTATACAAGAGTCCACAGAGAGAGAGAGAGAGAGAGAGAGAGAGAGAGAGAGAGAGAGAGAGAGATGATTACGGCTTTACTTACAGAGACTTGTACATATACTTTCGACTAACCCGCATTCCTGGACTACTAATCTTCACTTCAAGTCTGTATTCTTACGTTTAATACACTTATTTTTCTATCTCAATTTCTGGCGTTGTTTATTAATTTGTTCAGGATTCCATTCCCGGAATCCACAACACAATTATATCACGATATATAGCAGGAGCACCGAAACATATGTGGCAGCGATATTGTAAGCATGGACGAATGGTAGACTTATAGATATACAAGAGAGGTTCAGGAGAGAAAAATTGTCTCACAAGATGCAGTGAACTAAATTTATTAGCAACTGACCTAGTAATGGATTCAATGTAGTCTTCGTATTTCATGTCAGCGAAAAGTATTAATCCGAGAAGGTGAAAGGATTTACTTTTTTGGAGGTTAGCATCAGTCACACTGATGGAAGGCAGAAGGAACACTTTGAGTTGATTAATAGAGAGCACTTTCTTTTGGGAGCGTTAACATTAACAACCCATCCTCTGCTTCAGTTAACAACAGACTGAAGCACGTTTTTGTAATCAGACATTTGATTTTTGCTTGTTTTATTTATTTTACCGCATATCAACCTCAATGGGTTATTTAATGCCGACAAGATTTTTAGGATAGATTCGTATGAATAGAATATGTATTCTTTGGTTTAGATTGTTTTGGTTTATTTTATTTTACGGCATATCAACCTCAATGGGTTATTTAATGCCGACAAGATTTTTAGGATAGATTCGTATGAATAGAATATGTATTCTTTGGTTTAGATTGGTTTGGTTTATTTTTATTTTTACGGCATATCAACCTCAATGGGTTATTTAATGCCGACAAGATTTTAGGATAGATTCGTATGAATAGAATATGTATTCTTTGGTTTAGATTGGTTTGGTTTATTTTGTTTTATGGCATATCAACCTCAATGGGTTATTTAATGCCGACATTTTTTTAGGATAGATTCGTATGAATAGAATATGTATTCTTTGGTTTAGATTGGTTTGGTTTATTTTATTTTACGGCATATCAACCTCAATGGGTTATTTAATGCCGACAAGATTTTTAGGATAGATTCGTATGAATAGAATATATATTCTTTGGTTTAGATTGGTTTGGTTTATTTTATTTTACGGCATATCAACCTCAATGGGTTATTTAATGCCGACAAGATTTTTAGGATAGATTCGTATGAATAGAATATGTATTCTTTGGTTTAGATTGGTTTGGTTTATTTTATTTTACGGCATATCAACCTCAGTGGGTTATTTAATACCGACAAGCATTATTTGCTGGTAATATTTTTTAAAAGTGTATTGATGGTAATATTTTTTTCTTCAATAATGTATTGCTGGTAATAATTATTTACAAAAATGTATTGCTGATAATATTTTTTCCTCAAAAATGCATTGCTGATAATAAATTTTTTCATAAATGTATTGCTGGTAATATTTATTTTCTTCAAAAATGTATTGCTGGTACATAAACGTATTTATACACTTTCATAGTGTTTCACTCCAGCTTGGGGTTAACTATTTGCTCATAGGTGGGACGCTAACAGCTACTATGCTGGATCAGGTTGGACCTAGGAACACCAGCAATTAAGAAGTGGTTCCACGCTCCTCAAAACCTACTGATCAGAGGTCTCGCCCGTCGGATGTAGTTTATTGTCTTACCCAGGACGGTCAGACATTTGAGCTTATCGAGTTGGTCGGACAGGATTAAATGGTTGTCATCAGCATAGATAGGAAATTGAGAGCTGATACCTACAAAGTAGGACAAGGATAGAGTCCTGGTGGTGGGTGGATACCTGCATTAGTATAAAGGAAACTTAGAAAAGTGGCAGTTTCAGGATGACATTCATTTCACGATTTGATAAAGAAAAACTGGATCATTTAAAAAAAAATTCGTCCGGAGACGCCGTAATATTTCAATTTGTGAAGAAGACCTGTATGCCAAACCCTGTCAAAAGCTTTCGAGATGTGCAAGGCTACTTATCTATAGCTGGATAGACTCTTTCAGCAATTATCGTTAGTACATTATTAGTTGACCTAGAGAAACAAAAGTTATATTGCTATTTTGCTTCTGTGATTATATTGACTAAACCACTTCTAAGAATTATGCAAAAATTCTTATAATATAAATTAAGTTATACATTTATTACATACTTTGCTTCTGTGATTATATTAACTAAACCACTTCTAATAATTATGCAAACATTCTTATAATATAAATTAAGTTATACATTTATTATATACTTTATTTATTAAATTTATATATATTTAAATTTTAAAAACATATCATTTGATATATATATACTTGTGCCTCGAATCTTGATGTTGTCTCCGTTAAAGCATAATAAATTAGCTTACATCGATAAACCTCGAGTTATTTGCATATATATAATTGAATAATTACTCTCCTGGCTGTGAAAATACGAGCTATTTCCAAGAGAAATACAATTTATTTTTCTCCATTGCCTCCTAAAAGATTTTCTCTATGTTGTTCGCTAATTAAACAATCCCAGATGATTCGTGGCTCAAATTTAGGCATCCCGGTTAATCTGAATGGAGCCGGCATATTCTTTTCTGGTTCATTCGTTCGAGGATCTAGCAGGCCTTTCCTGGCAAGGGGTGGGGGAAAGATCTTGGCAGGAGACGTGGAAAAAAGTTATAGGCTTTATAACGTAAACAAAAAGCACAGAGGAATCTTGGTTAAAAAGT